TATACTTGGTCGGCTAAAGACTACTTCAAATGAATACATACTCAGATAGTACATATATAAATACCACGTATATGCGGAATCCTATACCACAACATGTATTTACAATAAAAAAGGGATTTGGTAATTATTTTTCCATTACTGCCTACTTTATTAATTTAAGTTAAGATTAATAATAATAATCTTATAGCAAATGGGTTCAAGGGAAATACCATTCCACAGTTTTGAAAAAATCGGTTTTTCGCGCTTTTGTAAAATTTATTTACCATCGTATACGCGTTACTGCGTTTGGCGTATACGAGGTACTTCGCGCTGAGCGACGATATAATTCAATACAGTCCAATTTTTAATTGTTTAATCTTAATTATAAAATATTTACAATGTGGTTGCTCGCGCTGATTAGGTATTTCATTGATTCTTACAAAGGAGTTGGAAACTGTGTACCTATGTACTTATTTAAAAACGTTATTTAGTGTCTGGTAATGTTAACGATATTAGCATACATATGCACCTAATACGGGAAGCCTGATTTTCTAAAATATGTGTTTATATTTATACTTATATACGAATGTATTTCATTTATTTTCAGCCTTAAAAGGGTTTACTTTTCACAAATGCAAATAAAAACTGATTTTCTTTGGTTTGTAAAATTTGTCTAAACGTATTTGTGATGACCTGAGTTGTTAATCTAATAAAAAATTTGTTTTTTTCCTTACATTTGGTAACTTTTTCGTCAAATCTTGGTTAGAAAGTTAATTGAGCGGCGGCAACACTGGGTAGAAGTGATAGCTATTTCTTAAATCACCACATCCTCATCAGACTTCTTTCAGTAGGATTCGAACCGAAGATCCCACTGACTCAGCCAGCTGCCTACGCACTGTGCTAAGTTCGCCTTGTGAATTCTTGTTGCCTTTTTTCACTATTTCATTTATTAAGCCAACTACAATCAAGCGCAGCTATTCCAGTGCTATTTAAACTTCATTATGTGGATGTTGGTTTAGTTGGTTTTTGTTAATATTTCTACTATTACAATGTTTAACTTTTAGGTGTCCTCGTCCTTAAGTTATTTGTTTTTGTTATTCTTATGGCCTTTTACAATTATATTCAACAATTTCTATTGAGCTCGAGGCCGTTTTAAATGAAAATTTTTATTGTGGAAAAGCAACAATAATTTGAAAAAATGGTAGAAGTGATAGCTATTTCGGAAATCACCACATTTCCTCATCAGACTTCTTTCAGTAGGATTCGAACCGACGATCCCACTGACTTATGAAGTTGCCTACGCACTGTGCTAAGTTCGACTTGTGAATTCTTGTTGGTTTTTTCCTCTATTTCATTTGTTAAGTCAACTACAATCAAGCGCAGCTATTCCAGTGCTATATAAAATTGGTCATGTAGCTGTTGGGGTTGTTGGTTTTTGTTAATATTTCTATTATTCGAATGTTTAACTTTTAGGTGTGCTCGTCCTTACGTTATTTGTGTTTGTTATTTTTATGGCCTTATAACAATTATATTCAACAATTTTTATAAAGCTTGAGGCCATTTTTAATGAAAAACTTATTGTGGAAAAGCAACAATAATTTGAAATAAATAAAATAAAAATAAAAAAACTTTTTAATATACAACGCTTTTATAAATGGACTAAAAAGTAGAAAATAATATTTCCCAGTCCCACAGAATTTGTTTGATAACTTTTGATTTTCAAATTTTAGCAAAAGTCATTATAAACAATTAATGACATTGAAAACGAAAAACGTGGAGCGCATGCAGTACAAAGCATTCGAACACAGCGCACGGCAGTGCGCGCGAGTGACGAAAGCATCCACAGTACCATGCTGAAATGACTCGCTTATATATACACGAGATTTGGAAGTTTTTATCCAGACGTCCAATCGACATGTTTGATTTATCGTTGGAAAGGTCTTGCAGAGTGTGTCCAGAAAATGTATTCAAGCTTCATAAGCAATTAACCGGATTCTTAAAAATTAGGCTAAAAACGTCTTTTTGCTTTTGCCGGTTTAAGGGGGCATGTGGGTACACCCAACATATTTAGTTTTATTCTATAGGCCAATACTTTTCAAACGATACCTTACATATTAAGTTCCGGGAACTAGTAGAAATAGAGGTAAATGTGTTTTGGTTCGTATCTCCACTACGAGATGCTTTGGTATGTATGTGGCGTCTGTACGTATCATCAATTAATTTTTTTCAAACTTTCAGGAATTAAAATACAAAAAAAACTTAGAAGGTTTTGTCAATGTTATTGTGGCTTGCGAACATTTTATTTTTAATGTTTTTATCGAGCTTTGTACCACGATTGTTTATAAGGAAAAATTGAAAAAGCAACAAAGTCTAAGCGGTAAAAGTTATAGCATTATTTCGGAGATCACCACATCTCCTCATAAGATTTCTTTTTTCTAGACTTCAGCAGGGATCGAACCTGCGTATTCGATGTTCAAAGTCAGAAGCGTTAACCACTGAGCTATGTACATCCCGTAAACTCTTGTTGCTAATTCATTTTCCTTATTCAACCAACTACTATCAAGTGCAGTTGATTTGCCGCTATTTAAACTCGACAGCGTGGTTGTTGTTGTCAATTCTATACATCCATTTGCTTATTTGCTTTTTTGTATAGTTTCAGGCAGGATCTTCCTAAACTATGTATTTTTCAATGTTATTGTGGCTTGTGAACATTTTATTTTTAATATTTTTATTGAGCTTTTTACCACGATTGTTTATTAGGAAAAATTGAAAAAACAACAAAGTCTAAGCGGTAGAAGTTATAGCACTATTTCGGAGATCACCACATCAATCAATGTTATTGTGGCTTGTGAACATTTTATTTTTAATATTTTTATTGAGCTTTGTACCACGATTGCTTATTAGGAAAAATTGAAAAACAACAAAGTCTAAGCGGTAGAAGTTATAGCACTATTTCGGAGATCACCACATCTCCTCATCAGACTTCTTTTTTCTAGACTTCAGCAGGGATCGAACCTGCGTATTCGATGTTCAAAGTCAGAAGCGTTAACCACTGAGCTATGTACATCCCGTAAACTCTTGTTGCTAATTCATTTTCCTTATTCAACCAACTACTATCAAGTGCAGCTTATTTGCCGCTTTTTAAACTCGACAGCGTGGTTGTTGTTGTCAATTCTATACATCCATTTGCTTATTAGCTTTTTTGTATAGTTTCAGGCAGGCTCTTCCTAAACTATGTATTTGACATCAGTTACTAGGTCGCCATTATTGTTCTTACAGGAGTGCGCCCCGGTCTTTAAACCTTCCGTAAGTCGGCCGCTGTGGTGTAGTGGTAAGCAGTGCGCGCTTCCACTCCGCAACGCCTGGGTTCAAGCCCTGGTCAAAGCAACATCGCAAAAAATATAGAAAAAAGGTTTTTACTTCACAGCGGTCGTCCCTCGGCAGGCAAATACGTCTCGCTTCCCTCTTCAGATCCCTATAGCGGTCCCACATAGCGCGCATTGCGCCCGATCGCAGCGTGGCCCTGTAGGTGGCATTTTTTTTCTCT